AAAAAACATTGGGAAATTTTTTTTTTAGTCGAAAAATTGGTACAATACAGCGATGTTCTTTTGAAAAATTTCAACAAATTAATCTTCGTGACAGGGATAAAGAAAAATATTTGGGTATTCACACAATTGGGATACGATTTGCACCAAATTTTGGCAAATACCCAATCGTGTGACACTGCCTTTAAACTTGTATTTATACGGATGTTGTTAAAGAAGGAACTATAAAAAACTAACCAAAATTAAATGACAACAAAGATAGTATTTTAAAACTTGTGAAAATTTGGTGCCGCTTTAATTTTTCCGCCTACTGTACATTAGCCTGCATCACCAAAAAAAGTTTCGGTTTTTCCTTAAATTCCGTAGTTAAGGCTTAAATTGGTGAAAAGGTTCTAAATTGCCAATTAGGTTCCTGTTTGAACATAGTCTAAGTAAATTCGTTGGGTTTATGTTATGCAGTTCAGTCAGCCATGATTGATCCATATTGAAAGGTATAGATTTGTTGATTAAACTGAGAGACCCTTGGGGTATTAGTCTGATATTAGTCTGCCATCTCATCAGCCAATTACTTGAATGCGCCGTGCTGCATAACCAAGAATAAAAAAAAAAAACGATTTGCTTCAAAGAATAGCTGCGACGAAGGATCTACTAAGCTGGAGGACACACAGAACGAAGAACATAGCTTGGCTATCGAAAAAACAACCACATTTGTCCTAGGCCATTTAAAGACAGATCAACGGAGCTCAATTAAATTAATAAATGACCAGAAAATCTTAACTATGTGAAACAAAATTTAAATGAATTTACATGAGACTCAATTCAAGGAAAATAAAATCACTTGCAACCACCTTTCTTCCCTCAAAATCAGAGTTCAATTCCATTAAAGGGTTCATCGCCGCAACAGCAGCACGCCACAAATTTGCAAGCCTAATTTATTTGCACTTTTAATTTTTATCCTCCTTGATATCCACACGTTTCTGCACAATTTTGAGTATCATTCTTTCCTCACTTTTGGAATACATTAAACACACTGCATTTCTCCACTTACTAACGCCACATATTTGTTTCTCTTCAATCACTAGCGTCGCATCGGCCAGATTGGTCGACCCACGCCACAAACACTTGTGGTCTCCGCCCGTTCAATGCCTCCTTTGATGGAATACATAAGAGAAATAAATTGATGAATTAACTCAGGTTTGGAGCTTTCGAGCATGTAGGCGGCTATTGACCACATCAGGCGAGACCAGACCAAGCCCGAGCAGGCAGTCTGTCGTCTGCTTGTCTGCATGGTTCTACCACAGTTCGAGGAGTTCATTGCGCCTTCATGTGTATGCGTACGTTTGCACCGAAATCAAATGTTTGCGGAATTTCTTCATTCGCCAGCACATAGATTCAATACTTTGTCTGATTTCAGCTGATCTTAAAGTGAGTTTATTTCCTGCTTGTTTGTTTGGTTCGATTTTGGTTTTTTTTCTCATTGAAGTGCATTGATCTGGGATATTTGGGAAGGAGATGGCAAATTGACTTTTGGTTGGGGTGCCTTGTAGAGTTTAAAAATGAGCTTAATTTTTTAATCGTAAGTATAATTTATTTTAACTGGGTCCAAAGTGCCAGATATTTGATTACCCTTCAAGGGCTTCATGACTTCTTACACTTGCATGGCCTTATTGGGATGCCCGAGTTTATTTAAGGATTTAGATTTATTCCAATTATATTAGCCAAAGCTATAGCAAGCGGTGTATAAATATATCTATATGTACATATAACTGGAAACGTTTATGTTCTGAATAATCCAGTATCAATTCGCGATATTTGTAGGTACATATATAGGACACTTATGTATGCGCTTCCCTTATATTTCAAATAACAGCAGATTTGATTGACAGGGAAGAGATAAAACACTTGCATTAGTTATGAAGCAAAAGTCGTTGAGAATAGTCTAATATCTCGTAATACTATTTAAAACCCCCAGTACTTGCGATCCGCCACATATGAACACAAATCTTCACTTCACCTTCCTCGGCTGCCGACGAGGTGCTTCGATACAACGACACACGCACGAACAGCTGGTATGGCGAAGAGTGCGGTGTCGCTGCCGCAGGGAAATACGCAGCACAAAGTGGAAGTCTTCATGCAAAACACGCTGGTCAGATTTGCTTTCTTCTATCTAGGAATATCCGAGCTAGTCCCTGCATTGATAATGATGGACGTTTGGTATCAGAATAGCGACAGGTGGCGCGTTTGATAAAGACAAACTAACTAATGTGTAGAGGTAAGCAAAGGCTTCTCCACTCGCCCAAGAGAAGTAATGCAGCAGATGTTAATCCGGCTCATCTGTTCAAAGCCGGTGAGGTATTATGCTACGTGCTGATACAAGAGCACGGAAGCTATGAAGCCTAGGCTGAAAATACTGATTTTGATACCACGGGCGGAAGCCATTTGGATGAGAAATTTGGGAAACTAGAAGAAGTGCCTAAGCAATTAGTTTATCCGTGAGAAGATGGCGAAGACGTAAGCAAGCTTCTATATTTATTTATGTGCAGTTGGTTGGTCTGACTTTTACCTTAATGAGATCTATAACAAGCAAAAGAAAAAAATTTACTCAGCTGGAATAAAATCCAAATGATTATATCACATGGTTCACGTAGGTCTGGCAGTGTCGCCGCCAGCTAAATGTTAAATTTTGTGTTAGATGGTCTCAGCGGCTTCACGTAGACTCTCTTTTCATCAAAACTAATAGAGTTTGATGTGATTGCAAGTTCTTTGGCATAAGAATTAGAAAATTTCAAGAGAAAGAAAATTATTTAATATAAACTAATATGTATGTATTTAGAACTTACACATTTTGAAGTGAAACTCCTTTGTGCTCGGTTTGGTGTAAGTGTAGACATCGATGTAACAAAAAAGCGACAGGATCGTTGGGATCCAAACACCAGTGAACCAAACAGGGAGAGAAGGAAAGAGAGAGGATCACTGGGGGTGGAAGAGCATGGTTAGGATTAAGATTATGTTTAAAGTTAATATTAAGATTAAGATTAAGGTTGAGATTAAGATTAAAGTTGGGATTAAAATTAATATTAAGATTAAAATTAAAATTAAGACTAAGATAAAGAATAATATTAAGATTAAGCTTAATATTATAATTAAAATCAAGACTAAGATTAAGATTGTGATTAAGATTAAAATTAAGATTGAGATTAAGATTTAGATTAATATATACATTTGGATTAAGGGTAAGATTAGGATTAATATTAAGATTAAAATTATCTAATATTAAGATTATGATGAGGATTAAGACTAAAATTAAAATTAATTTTAAGGTTAAGACTGCGATTAATCTTAAGAATATGATTGAAGTTGAGATTAAGATTACTATTAAGAATAAGATTAAAATTACTATTAAGACCGAAATTGAAATTGAGATTAAGATTAAGGTTAAGATTAGGATTAAAATTAAGATTATTACGATCAATCAGATTAAAATTAATACAGAAATTTTTTCCAATTTGTGGTATTGGTCTTGATATTGTCCGAAAAATTTAGCACCTACAGTTTCCGGTTTTTTATACACTCGGACCTCCGCGAAGGTTACTACCGCCTGCTGAGCTTCAGCCGCTATTAGAAAAGAACTCTTTTGGATGTTGCCGCGAAAAACTATTGTTTTTGTAAAAACTTCATAATTTCTTTAGTTCTCAAACCTAAACATTGTTTGGATAGATTTCGAATTAAAAAGCCATAGTCTTCTAGTCTTGTCAGACTATTGTCAATTTTATCGTACTAATTGTCTACCCTAGATTTCTTATCCAAAAGAAAACCTTTTGAGTTCAATATGGCACTTTTGAATTGAAAGCTAATAAATTTAGCCCATTTCGCTTGCTTTCCCGCCATTCTGCGTTGATTAATTGAGGCAAGGTTCCAAAGGCATTGCACTTAATTTAAATATTTAGAAATGCATCTAACTACGCGCACATAACACTGGGAATTAAATCCTGTTGCAAAACCACTGTATATAAAACTAAATTTGCTTGAACTAAAATGTATGCAAATTATTTTGGCAACTACATTAATGAAATTTTAGCATTTTACCATTTTGCATCGCTCTTGCTGCTGTTGTTGTTGCTGTTGTTGACTACTGCTGCATGCTATGCTGAACAAAATTTTCGCACAGTCACATGTACGTATGAGACGAAGCTACAAGATGAAATTGGCTCAATAGTTCAAACAACAGTAAGTTAAAGAAACAATAAATTCACATACAAAGCACATCCCGACGAACATGTGAGCAACACACACACACACAAACAAACTTACAACGTGTTATAGTTACGGTGACCATTTGTACCGATTTTGGCGGAACAGTATCGATTTTGACAAAAATTGTCCCGTTGAATATTTTTTAAAAGTCGGGACGTGTAAGTGTCCAAATTTTGCATATTTGTACCGATTAAGTCCCGATTTTCAAAGCTTGTTTTATTAATTTAATAAGAGTCTCCCTGTACTCTAGCCCAAGCAAAATTTTTCGTACAAACGTGACAGCACTTTCGTTATCAATCAGGACATAGAATATAAGGGAGCCATAAACATAGCCAGCATCCTGGTTTTCTATGATCTTTGGTTGTTTATTCTGTCAAACTAGTGCTCTCACTATATTGTCCAAATTTTTTAAGGTCTTTATAATAGTTTGTTAAGTTTTTTTTTTAACCCTTTCGGGACGGAGTTTTATTTGGAAACCGGAAATAGTCTCAACAAAAATGCCTGCGTATACTGAAAGATTGGGCTAAAAAATTATGTTCTGCATACTCAGAAATCCTAAAATCGTCCTTTTAACCTGGGACATATAATCCCAGTACACATTTACTGTGGGATATAAAATCCCAATAAGAGTTTTTGACGAGTATAGTAAATTTGAGAAATAAATAAAATATTAGAAAAATAGCTATATTTTAATGAAATCCCATACTAATTAGACATATTAATTGGATTAATATAATGAGTTTGAATTATTAATTTAATTTGTGGAAGGGTCCAATACATTTGTAGCATAACGCGTTGTTACAGCCAGAACAGATCATTTTTGTTCGCTTTTCGATTCCAAGTGAAGTGCAGCGTACGCAACGGCAACGCTTCTCTTGCTCCACTGGCAAGTGATCTCCAATGTTGAGGCTATCAGTCTTTGAGCGCTTAGGAGTTCTTTCTCCCTGTCGACGAGGCATTGTCTCACGCCTTTTATTTCCTTCGAAAATCATTGATTCAGCAAGGGGGACCAGAAAGTCTTTCAGTGATAACTTTTGCTTCTTATGTTCAGTATAAATAATCCATGAATTTGTGACGCTAACCATTAGTAGCTTGTAAAACACTTTTTTCCACCACTTTTGAGACTTGCGGTTGAAATCATAAACGGTTGTCTTCTGGTCGGCCAAGTCGACCCCACCCATAATTCTGTTATAATCACTGATACTTTTAGGACATTTAATTTTCTTCTTCGATCCGTCTTTTTGCTTCCTATCGACGTCTACAAGCGACGGCTCGTGACAATTTGAAGCTAGGAGGACTTCTTTTGAATCCATCCAGCGGGCTGCCAAAATACCGCCAGAGTTGATTTGAAGCTGACTTTCTCCTCTGGCCAACTTTCCGACAAATTTTGGTGTATTCTTTCTGTTTTGCATGTATGTACCCAGTGCGGGGTATGGGATTATTTCTAACAGTTTAATTGAGGTAAAAAAGCGGTCAAAGGCTAGACAAACATCCTTCTCACGTATTGAAGAAACCAATTTCAAAACTACTTTTTCTCCAAGAGTGGTAGGTTCAGACTGCACATGATTTGCTTCCTTACCAGTATAAAGATTAAGATCGTAAGTGTATCCTGTCTTCGAGTCACATCGCATCCAAATTTTGATTCCGCGCTTTATGGGTTTCATTGGCATATATTGCTTCATGCTTGATCTACCTTTGAATTTTACCATGCATTCGTCAATAGACTGAAATGAACTTTCACTTCGAGCAGCTGCAAATGTTTGTTTCAGGCATTGCACAACATCGGAGATGTAATAATCTCTAGAAGCGTTGGTGGGCTTATCGCAGTCATTAAAATATAACTTTGATGACAATAATAAAAAGCGATCTCGTGATATACAGTTTTTTATAACTGAATTTCCCATCGATGGATTTTTGCTCCAATAGTCCTTCAGAGAAGGCAACTTATTATAATGCATAATTAATGAAATGCCCAGAAATACCAGAATTTCATTCGGATCGGTTAAATTTCGCTTTGACTGAGCCCGGCGATTCAAAGCTGTCAGACGCTGATTAGTACATTCAGCAATTCGAATGCACAAACTGTAAGGAAATATCGTGGAAAACACTTTGAACTCGGTGCAATCGTGAGCAAAATCGAGAAGAATTTTGCAGTCTCGCTCAGTTGGGATTTCATACTTTGGATTGAAGTTCTGAGAATTATCCGGAGCAACATTTACCCACTGGGTAACAGACAGTATCTCGTCGTTTATCTCCGTAGGCTCAGTGGCCGCATTGATATTATCGTCAGCTTCTGATGCAGATTCAGTGTATTCGGAACTCTCAAGCAAATATTCACTCCCAGAGTCCTCAAAATTAACATCCGAGTCTGACTCTTCAGACATAATACGCTCAAGATCCTCTTGAGTTAGCTTCCTTTTCGCCATCTAAAAAACATATTGGGACAATCAATCCCACGTAAAATACATATTGGGACAATGCATCCCACGTAAAAAACTTATTGGGAGTATATGTCCCAATTTTATAAAATTAATTCTAACTTACCTTATAATAGCAAAAAACACCACTAAAGAATTTAATGTAACAAACCAAACACGTTTTTATACAAACAAATGCAACTTTTGTTGATCACGCTTCTATTGCGACTAATTTCAGCAAATTACCGAAGAAAACTGATCAAATTCCACGTATATTGCGAAATACTTTGTCATGCGGCGTCTATGCGCTGAAATGTACCGCTATGTTTTTGTTTACAATTGAAAATAGGCACTTAAATCTGTGTTTGGGACTAATTATATGAGCAATCGCATGCACAGTAAAGAAAATACGAAAGTTAGAAATTTGGTGGGATGTATTATCCCAGTAGTCCCGAAAGGGTTAATGAAACGATTCTAACTTGAATTGAGTGAAATAATAAAAAATAATACCATTTCCCATGAAAAAATCCTGGATATAAAAAACACAAGCTGTAGTGCAGTGGCGAAAGTACAAATAGGGAAGAGGCTAGAGGCTAGATACCGAGCCTAAGATTTACAGAATATCGATCATTGGGTATAAAAAAAAAATTGTGCTTCACCCAAATTAGGCTCCTTTATTTATTTTTTTGTATTTCTATAGTTGGATAAGCACTCGGACGGCCTATTCACGACACACCATCTCTCACTTGAATGTAGGAAATTACGTGCGGCCAGCGGGTATGCTGCACGTCCGCCCATTGCATTACACTTGCTGTTAAAGCTATTATTGCCGCTGCAATACCAACTTGCAATTCATTAATTATTTAGGTGCGGCATGGAAATTGAACGCATCAATTTTAAAGAAATGCCACGGTGATGCGTTAATGAATTGGGCGTTAAATAGTTGTTTGACGCTTTTGTACTAAGCCTGAGTTACATATGTGGCAACGATTTCAGGCTATTTGAGAAATAATGCATTTGTTGTGCGACTGCAGGTGTCTGAGTGAATGATGGAATGCTTGGTTGAATTGTGCCACTTTTCTCTTTGTTGTGATTGCATCTTTAGAAATAAGTAACAAAAGCATATGGCTCAAATGATGATGCGCAAGTACTTAAGTGTCTTAAAAATTGTGAACCAAATGCAATAAAAAATTATATTTAAAATTTTGTTTTTGTCCTAGTACACTGCTCAAGCAATTTCAAAATGTTTATCATTTAGCTAAACCAAGATAACTTACTTAATTAATATATATGTAAGTATGTAAATATATGTCAACTAATGAAAACTAGAGCAACCACAAACTAATCACAGTCGCGTATCACAAGCAACCAGGAAACAACGCCAAAAATCATTGATATGAATGTGAGGTTATGTCAACCAGTAGCGAATGGCGTGAAATAAAATGTTCGCAAAGAAAAAAAAGCTCCCAAAAATTAAGCGTAGATAGTTATTTGTACAGGCTAGACGGCATATAACAACAGCAACCATAATGAAAACAAGAGCGACAACAGTCACCGAAAATTAAACAGCAGCCTCAGTAAGACAACTGCGAAAGTTCGGTGACAATTTTCAAAAACACCCGCTGATTATATTTACTATGTATACTTATAGACAACGCGCTATCCACCTAAAATACACCAGCAGTCAACCAGCGGAGCATGTTGCACGCACGAGTTATAGTTGTTGTTGTTGCTATTATTGTCAACTGCTGTAGCGATAATTAGTCGAATGTGGATATATGTATGTATGTATGTACATACATAGCGGCGCAACAAGACGCATGCGTATGTGCAACATGCTAAATAAACCAACATGTAGCAAGTTGTTGCAGGCTTTGCGTGCCACGCTGGAGCAGTGATTTTTTTTTTTAAACAATTTTATGTATGCAAACATAATTTTTCTCCCCTTTTTTGTTTTTTTTTTTATTTTTACTAATTTGACCGTATTAGTTCGCTAATAAATTTACATTGTCAACGATATGTTGCATAAAAGCGCATGCGCATGCGCTAAGCAACGATTACTGTACGCGGCACTAATTTAACTGGCAGCCGGCAGTGTTGAGCGTTGTTGGAGTCAAATGCTTGTGGCGATTTGATTAATTTATTTTGAATATTGTTTGGAGTGTGTTTCTTTGTACTGTTTTTGGAAGATCTTTCGAGGAGTTGAACTATGGAGCTGAACTCAGGAGCAATCTTTTTAAAATGTCCACATGGAAATATACTTTTGAAAATTTTATGGAATAATTAGTCGGTACTGCTGGAAGTTCTTATTGCGAATCAGTAATAAAGTATTCCTTATTATTTGGGTGCCATTTATACAATTTTGTGGATTGTGAGTGACCTAGGGTGCCATTTATATAAATCATTGCAGTTTATAGCGTACTTAGACATCGTATTTGTTAGCATTTACGTAGTTTCCGCTGTAAATAAATTCCAATATATTAATCTCTTTACACGTTATTCCTATAGAAAAACTAAACACTCGATGCGATTGGTTCGAGTCACATTTCAGGATTTTTATTTGTTATTCGTTTTTAACGTGGTCTTATGTACACATATCACCTAAATACGTAAAAATAAATGTGATTTTTATTTTTGTTTTAAAGTGTGTTTAATTAGCAGTGAGTTGTATAATTTTTGCGTCTAACAAAAGTGTACTGAAATGTACTGATTTCGTAGCGCTGAAAAAGCCAAAAGTACTGAATCTTGGGAAAAAAATAGGGCAACCCTACGTCTGACAGAATTTTGCTAGATAAGCGTTTTGTAGTCCTAAGTAATGGCGTATTTGAATCTGCTTAGACAGTCTTCGTATCCATTATATTGGTTTGTAATATCACCATGGGTTAATGTAGTCGTGCATTCCTTACGAAGGTTTGAGATCTCCTGCGACCACGTTGGTCATTTGGTCGTTCTTTTTACTTTTGTTTAAGGGGTAGCTTGCATGTCGAAAAACGTGATTTACTTCTTGTACGTCTGATTCAAACAAATGTTTGTTTTATGACGTCTATGCGTTATGGTCGGAGAATGAGATTTCGCCGGCTACAGGCCATTTAATTCATTCATTAATATCAATTTAAAGAAGCAGATATTAATAATTTACTTATCGAACAACTAAGAAAGACCTAGGTTTACTTTTGTCTATTGCATATATTATTTAGTAGCCTCCACTGTTTAAAATGCACGCCTGATCTTTATATATCCAAGGTTGTTTGGCGAGTAGAGAATGTAAGCTTCCCACCCCATCGATGTTTGCAATTTGGTCTGTCCTTGTCTTATAGTGCATGTAAAACCTCGTCATCATCCATAAATTAGCATCTTCTGACCAAATTTTCATTGTGATTCGTTTATAGAGCTCTTACGGCTTGGAATATATAATTCGTCTTGCGTCAGGGTTCCTATCGGGCGGTGTCAGGTCAAGAATTCTGTTAGTGCAGAGTGTAGAGTCTGCTAGAAGAACCTTATAACATTGCATGTCGCGGCGCCTTGGTAAAAGATTTACTATTCAAGGCATTGCCACGTGAAGGAGATCGCTCAACAATTTAAATCTCTTAGTATACTTTGAGTGGCTTCACTTGGCGTTTCCAATTGGCGTCTGTTGGCACATAGGAGAAAAGACTGGCGTGCTTTGCTGAACTCGGCCAAAATCGCTTAGGTGGTTACAGCGCCAAAAAAGAAGAAGAAGAAGTATTCTTTAAGTACATACCGCTTGAAGATGAGGAAATCGAAACCGAATAACGTTTTCTGCCAGCATGCATGTTGATGTTGAAAACTTGGGCCCAATGTGAGTACACTCAAAATTGCATTTACCAATATTAAGAGAGTTAACAAGTATTTAAAAGCACATGTTTCTTCAGATGCTTGAGCCAGAGGACAAATAAACTACTATTGACCTAATTGATCTACATAGGTACATAGGACTAATTGGGCTCTTACAACATTTCTGTCTCACATCTGGTCTGGCTAAATAGGGGCAATATTGCATGAGACATCATTACTATTTCTTAGTCCTTATTTTATCTGTAAACTCTCCTTTGGAATTTATTTATATCTTCTTTCAATATTTGTTGCCTATCTTTGCCAATTGAGTTGTTGGCAATTCCTTGTTTTTTCTAGTAAAGCTACCATGTGTTGTGATTTTTTTTCTGTTAGCTATCAGTGGTTGTTGTTGCTTGTTTATTTTGCTGTTTCGTATTACTCAAAGTTGTTGTCACCATCGCCTTAACAACATATTTTACAAGCAATAAAGTTGTTCCACATTTGCGATCCTACATCGTAAACTTTAGTTGATATCTCACTCAGCGCTTTACAGCAAACAACACTTGGCCAAATACAACATGCCACATACAGCATAGAGCATACACAGATGATACCAACAGCAATGGCAACAACAAGTAAAACTGTAGCCAACAACCAGGCAACACCGATGACTCTTAGCCGCAGAAAATAAGGTGCGCTATGAAGAAGTAAAAAAAAACAACAACACACAAAGCAGAATGCCATAGCAACATGTCACATAAACATTAGTTCACCTTTTCGGCAGCAGAGGCAGCAAATGCACATCGACTCTATCGACGCGATTTTTTAACGGCTAAGCCAAATACGAAAATATACGATTGTCCATATACTGGCGCACAGGCGCACTGCAGCGAAGGATGTGCGGGTGTTGGCGGGCGACGGGTGAATTAAGTGAAGTTACTTGCGTTGCAAGCACGGAGACGCTCGCCAATTGCCGGTGCCACAACGCAATGTAAAAAGCGGCGGCGGCGGTGGCGGTGGCGGCGACTGCAGCATATTGGACGCTTAAAAAATATGTCAGACAGTGTTGCATAAATTGCATGCAACAAATACATGCCAACACGCACACACATAACATACAAATGTATTTACTGACATAAAGCTTGCTTACAGCCGCCCGCTGCTACTCGGAA